CACTGCGTCGTATAATTTCAAAGATATTAATATTAATTAATATTAATTTCTTTTAGACGACTTCTGTGCAATATCAATGCTATAAATTGTACTGCTACGTTGCAACACACACACACACACACACACACACACATACAAAACGTCAGTAAGACTTGTGCGATAGACGACTGATTTTTATGTACGTGCTCGTTACGTGTCGATCGGTCGATGGTGGCCCGTCAACCTGTTTCTCATCGACGCCTCTCGCTCTCATCGGTGCTCATTTACGCGGTGCTTAATAGACAATCAAGTGGCCGAGGCGGCCGAGCAAATTGTTTCGATCGACTGCCGCTTCCGGCGACGTTCGAGGCCGCGGATGATTGCCTCGTTTACCTGGCTTTAGTCACTTGATTATTTTTCCCCGATCCTACAAACGTTCTGACCTGTATTCGTCATCGATCGATGACAAATTTCCGAGAGGATCTAGTAAAAAAAAAAAAAAATGAAAAAATACGTGAAAACACCATCGAAGAGATCAACGGAAAACCACTCTTGAGATCGGACCGTTCGATCTACTACTTTTGATTGTAGCCGTAATATGACATTGCTCGCCGTAGAAGTACGGCTGTCATATCATTTGAAGTTAACACCAACTTACAGTAATATTACGTTCACCGTAGCGAAATACGTGCTGCAAATATTGCACGCTATTACGTATCTTTTTCCCATTACATTTTCCAGGCTTCCATCTTTTTAGAGCGACAAATTTAATACATTTCTAATATCCAATATCTTTTTTCCAACGTGTACCTGCGGACGAAACGATCTCTTTCTATAAATATTTCAATACTGATTTAAGTCCCCTGTTGTAGATTCGGTGATTCCAAGAGTCGTATTTAAATAATAAATATCTACCAAGCCACAAAATAAAATTGAGTGAGGTAATATACGTTTATATGATAATGTTCTTATTTTTATATACATAATGCAATTCAATCAATTATATACATGAAGCAATCCAATCAATTCATTAAAAAACAGCAAATTTACTGTTTATTGAATATGGCAAATAATTGCATTGCTTGATCTATTGTAGCTTTAATGGAAATGAAATAAAAATAAAAAGTAACATGAATGCAGTGAAGCAGCTCGTTCGATTGTTTGTGAGAATCAGCAATTTAAATGCAATTCAAGTAACGCAGTAGAGTAGTGCAATCACGCGTCGGCCAAGAATGATAAGTAGTCAAAACTCGTAACGTCAGCCTACTGATGGATACTTCTTTTTCCATATCGTGGAATGTTTTGCTAATTCTAAAGAGTTGCGTATTTATATAAATCTTAAAAGGAATATGATAGAAAATAAAATGTTTAAATTATTATTCCGTAATTATATGAAATTTTATAATTATAAAGAAAAGAAGAAACAATTTTATCATCTAATTTTTCAAAAACAAAACATACCTAATGCAATGCATCCTTTGTGTATAACCCTCGTACTTAAAACTAAAACTTTAATTAACTTTGAGACTTGAAAGGAAACAACCTACTTACTTTACAACTAATTACTTTAAGACTTGAAATGAAACAACCTCTCTCTCTATCTACACACAAATAAGCATTAGAATTAATTAAACGGATTAATTAAATGCAGAGGATACCTGTAATCAGATTAAACCGTAAATAACTGCTCGGCCGTTTTATGGTACTTAAGATAATGAAATAAATTATTAAACTAGAAGAGAGAATGACAACCGCTTATTCTGTTAATGGTAATAAGCATGGCATTTCACATAATCTGTGTACCATGTAATTTCGCACTTAGTTTCTAAACAGAAAATCCGGAAACAAAGTATTTCTGCGCGCGGATTATAGGTTTCGCTGAATTAAAAGAACTGCGATGGCTTTTTATTGATCCGAACTGCGTTAACTGCTTAACTCCAACTTATAAGCCAAGTGAAATAAACTTCTTGAATTATGCAACGGATTATAAAAATACATTAATTACTTTTTACGCATAAAATTAAAGTTTTTTTTTTAGAAAATTAATCAACGGTTAAATCTTTGAAATTTGTTTAACTATCATAATTAATTCTGAAAAGACAAAAGTTTTTTATCCTAATTTTTTTTATAACTCTTTTGTTCAATTCTGGAAAAATAAAATCTAATTTAATTTGAAATTATAATTTTTGATTATTATAGCAAGTTAAAGAATCACCGCATTTAATCGAACGTTCGAAAAAATAGAAAATTGATTTTAAATTTATTTCATCTTTTTTGCAATTTTGTATGATTTTATGTTTACCAATATATGAAGATATCAATGCAAAGGAAATATATGTTACACATTGTAATATAATATTGTATAAATTGTATATTGTATCGATCATTGATTTATTCAAATCGAACAAAATGCATTCAAGATGGAAATACATTTTGTATAAAATATAAATATTAAAAAAATGCATTACCATAATTTTATTAATGTCAAAATTAATATTAAATTAAAAATCGCGTTCATTTGCGTATTGAAGTTAGATTGTTAATGGAATAAAATCTGTTAATTATAAATCAGTTATAAACCACAATTTTAGCAAGTAGTTCAAGGAAAGATGTAGTTCGACATTCCCTGGCCCGCCCTTGGTTTTGCTAGGATTAAACATCGAAGGGTCAAGGTCTCCGTCGCTTTGACACATATACACACTCTTGTGTGAAATGTACATCAAAACTTCCAAAATTGAAACCCACCAGTTTTGAATTTCCGTGTAATATGTGTGAATTAACTGCGCGGTAATATTGCAATTCAAACACTCTAGTTAGTGTAAAGCATTGTTTTGCTATTGTTTTCGTTATTGAACATGTGTTTTCGTTGTGACATGAGCATCCTCGCAATTTGGTCTCTCAAGAGAGAGAGAGCGCTTACTGCACAGTATATAGAAATAGGAATTAAATTTTTTATACGAGACTTGGATTATTAAATTGACGGTTATTTTGGTGTATTTGCGAGGATCGTCCCCATTATGAAGGGAATTAAGGATTTCGCGCGGTATCCGGGGTATCTCTCAACTAGAATTTTTAACCAGGAGGCGTGAGGGGCGGCGGTTTCGCAGTGGCAACGTGAAACAAGCTCGAGGTCCGCATTGGCATTCGGTGCTACGGCGTGCTCCAACCCGCGCCTATTGTCCTCACGCTCACAATGGAGATCTTTCTGACGCGGCGCGCTTGCCTCGGCGCTTGTTGCTTCGATGGTCGGCTGACTAAACTTTGCCCGGACGTCGCCGCCGTCGTCGCTGCTGTTACCTCACCACGTGCAATGCACGCCCGCCCCCAATAATTTTCCCGCACAAACGGATATAGGCGCTGCAACCGTATACGCGTCGCGAACCAGAGGAGGGATCTAGCGCCGCGAGAGGGTGAGGAAAATGCTCGACGAGGAGGAGAATGGGAACGTCACCGTGTGCGGAAGAGAAAAAGAAGAATCGTCACCGCCGCCGCTGAGAGGAACGAGATAGGAGAGAACTGTGCCACTGTGGAAAGCGGCTACGCGCGCAGTAGGATTCGCCCTGGGGATAGGTCAATCAATGACCTATTTAAGGTGTCTTCAGACTGGTCTCCCTCGGCACCCGCCACCACGTTTGCCACTCGATCGGGGCTACTCGTGGCGACAAATACCCGCCTAGTGGCTGAGATTCTACATTCAACAAATGCGGAAGTGTTGCACGTTCGTAGGACGTGTGAAGCTTCATAAATTAAAGACGTGGCGCGAAAACAGAGCGTATTTTCAAAGAGTTTCACATTCAGAAGCGTCGCACGTATAAGGAATGATTAATTGCCTTTAGAAAAAAATATCAATCACATTTTCGAATTTTTATGGATGATGTACCATGTCCTCTGAGAAATTATACCTTTCAAGAAAGACATTTTTCTTGCCCCAATTTTCCCAGTAAAATAAAGACATCTTTTCAAATTATGCTTTTTATATTATAAAAAATAACTAATTTGATTTTGAAGATAAAATTCAATTAAAAATTTGATGTTAGTACATAATCCTTGATTTAACACGTTAAATTCAAACAACATCACAAACTTTCAATCAAACATTGGAAAGAGCGCATAATTAATTTTTGTTTTAATTTAAACGTGTTTTTATATTCCTTTTACCTATAAAGACACCAACGCGAAATAGTATTGACGTTAGGTGTCAATCCATTAATGTATGTACATTATAACATGGTTGATTTATTGAGATCGAATTGAATTCATCACACATTCAAGTGCGAATATGTAAAAATCCCGTTACCGTCGATCATTTGTTCAGCTGGATAAACAGTGTTGCCTCGATATATTGCCTTCCATCTAAACTTATTTGATAATACACTGCACATTGCAAGACGACTTAGGAAAATCAACAAATCCTGATAGCTGTGGTGAATGCTGACGCACGCGCAACCTTGTGTAGTCAGAGAGATGAAATAAATTCCTAATGAAGATCGACTGGAACAGTTCGCATCAGCTTACCACGACCATGAAAAGCAAATCTGTATTCGTAAAATGTACACAAAGATGCCTTCTTTATAAAAGCTACCGCAGAAACTCGATATCCAATAATCACTTATACTAATTCCGTTTTGGAGGAATAGTCGTCTATAAATCACATCGCTGACAACATAAATGACAAAAAGCGTGTAAAAAACTTCTTAATTATTGAGAAACTTTATGAAAATACGTATAAAAGACGTTTTGATCTTTTAATACCATTTAAGGACACATCTAATCTTTAAAATTTATTCTTCACTACTCCGACAAATGAATTTTAATTCCTTAGACATTCTCGAAATGCTCAAAACACATTCAAAAAGCAATCAGCTAAATCTACTTTCAAGTTTCTTTTAAATAAATTACTTTCAGAAGTACTTTAGATTTTTACGCTGATTAGAGCGCAATGTACTAGAGCGCATGTAGGTCGACGTATGTGCTACAAAGCAGAGTTTATCATACCGAGTCGAGAAGTACCAAAAGGATATGGATTAGTAATCAGCGCGAGACACCAGTTGCGCGGTCGTGTGGTCTGGTCGAGATATCTGAGAGCGATCGGAATGAAACCTGGATAGGGTAGACCCTCGCCCTCCTCCTCTTCATCCTCATCGTCGTCATCCTCGTCTTCGTCGTCATCGTCGTCGTCGTCCTCGTCGTCCACGTCGTTCTCACCATTCTCATCATCCTCGTCTTCATCTTCCCCCTCGACCGCTCGCTTATCGGCAGATTCGCGAGCCCCATCCTCGTCCTCGTCGTCCTCGAGGTCGCTGAGCTCCGCCACGTCGCTGTCGGAGCCCTGCTCGCCGACCCCGGTTCCGCTGACCGCCTTCGACGCGGATCGGTACCGGTATCCGTGAGGATAGTGCAGCGACATCCTCGAGTACCTCGAGTGCCTCTCTCTCGTGAACGCGACGTTCCTCCGGTGACTATGATGGCCTTCAACGACGTCGCGGCCTCCTCGGCGCCCGGGGCTGCGTGAGGCGACGATTCCGGGACGAGTCCTCGACCGTTGGGGGAGAGATTCTCATCGCCCGATCTTGCTGCACGTTCGATCTCTCTTCCTGCACTCGCTCTTAACTAATTGCGTGAACAGTCGTTCTCGACGATGTCATCGGGGATGCTGCGTGTTTGATTCGTTGTGAATTTTTTCGTCGCGAATATGACGACGAGTGTCTCAATCGTCACCCGACGTCTTAATCCCGACGCTCGACGTGGTGGACTGCTCCGGACTGTCGTGATCGACGTAGAGAGCGAGTGCCTGCCGATCGCATCTTATGCCGGAGTCGGGGACATAGCGAATCCAGGTGTGCAGTTGCACCTCTCGACGCGCCTGCCCGGTGATTCCTCTCTCACCTGCGCTTCTCACCTGAGGACGTGGCGAGCGCGCAGTAACCTTGCCCCGGTATCGCGATGTTCCTGGAGGTTGCGTCGTGATCCTCGCCACGAGGTCAGGTGATACAAGAAATACGCAAAATCCTCCTTGGGAAAGAGACAATTTTCGAGACGACGCGATTTCAAGTCTCGGAAGAGGAGCACGTGAAGCGCGTGGCCGAGAGCTAATTCACTGCACCACCACCACCACCTCTTTCGCTTCCTCCTCTTCTTCCGAGTATTCTCCACCTGATTGTATCCTCTCTCGTCAGGTGCGGGTCCTATCGACCGCGACGTCGGTCGCGCGGACACGAGGGCACTAGCGCGGACTATTGTCCGCAAGGCGAACGTCGAGTGCGGACGTATGGTGCGGTGGTGGTAGCCAGCAGCTGAACGCCGCGCGATTGCGGCCGTGTTCACGACGACGACGGTGCCCGGCGCAGCGTCGACCGGTGACTGAAAAAAACGTCGAACATCCTCTACCCGATGATGGTGCGGACGCATGCGCGACCCCCGGTGTGTGCGTGTCCCTTGCCTCATCCGCGTCTCGCGACCTCCAACACACATCCTCCCCCAGAGAAAATCTGGAGATCTTCCTACTCTTTCCTACTTCTTCTCGGCCTCGTTACACCTCTTCTCTTCTTCTTCTTCTTTTTGCTCTTCCTCGACCTCCTCTTTTATCTCTCGGTCGACCGAGAAGCACCTTCACGGTTGATACTCGACGTGGGCAAAACGGAGGGGAAGAGAGAGAAATTGAGGGATGGAGAGGTGACTGTAGAAGATCCAGCGAAGTCCTTGAGATCCTCGCTTTCACTTTCGGCGCCAACCAAGTGATACTTGTGACTTTTTCTCTCTATCATTTGTGCGAAAGATGTTATCTTATTTTGAACTTCGCACCCCTATTGACGCCCGGGCTAATTGATGACCTAGGGCCACGTGATCGGCATCAGTGATTTCTCGTTACGAAACAAGCTGAAAGATAATCAAGCAGAAGACAAGTTTACCGGAAGAAAAGTTTCTTTTTTTGGGGCAAAAGGAGGAGAAGAAAAGAAGGGGAATATCGATAACATCGAGGGTGTATTTGATGGATGACTGTTCGTAGCACATTGTCGAAGGGTTTTACTCGATAAAAAGGCAATAAGAAATTGCGACGATTTTATTTTACATAGTGTCTGAAATTCAGCGTTTTGGGAGCAGTAAACTTTTCAAAAGACATTTCCAAGTATTTTTTGTGTTTGTAAGCTAAAAGAAACTTGTCAGAAATAATATATCAAGAATAGAAATGTCTCGCAAAAATAGATATGACTACAGTTAACTTTTTCTCTTTCGAAAAGAAATGTAGTTTACATTGCGATGCTGTTAGATTCTGAAAATTATTGTTTATGCTTTTAATCGAATTTTTTATACGTATGTATATACATATCTATACATAAAATTATTTTATAACATAATAATGGCATTATTTAACCGTAAGTTTTCCATGATTTTTTTGCCATAAACATAGATATAAAGAGATATTCGCAAAATATATTTAATGTTTTGTATTTAATATTTTCATATCAAAGTAAGTTAAAAATAAAATAATTTACGTTTGTTTTTCTGTATAACATTTTACTAATTTGATTACAAAGTGACTTAAAAAGGTAATCTCTAATCAAAAGTATATATATATCTTTATATTCTATTTTTCATTTTTATTAAATTTTTATTAATTTAAGTATGAAGTTTATCGTATAGAAGCAACTTACATCGTGATGTATTAATTTACTTCACTATTGGAGCAAACTGGCTGCAATGCAGCACGTTCATATTTCACTTAATTACAAAGAAACTACATAGTGTACAAAACCATTCCAGGAATGAAAATATAGAGAAAGGTTACCCATTTCGTATTTTTTAGTACATTTTAACTATAATAATTAATCATTTGAAAAATCCAATGTCAAAATTGTGAAAATTGTTTCAATTCTCCCTTAATTATGTTTCACTTATTTTAAGGCGATAAATTAAGTAAGTAATACAATATTACACAGAAAATATAATAAACAACCATAATACTGAGTGTTAATTATACCTGAACAGAAAATAACAATTTTTTTACTTTTTATTTCTACAATTTTCTAATAAAGACTTTAATGGTACAATGGAGTCGCAGAAACAACGATTTACTGAGACTAACTCCCTATGCGTTTCATCTATTTTTGCTCGGAAGGTGGAAAATGGAGAAGAAGCAGGTTGCGCGCGTGTTTATAGCACTGTTGCACGATTTCTCGAACGGAAGAACGAGAAGGTAACGGTGATAATCAACCGCCGGATACTGGATACGCGATTAAAGTCAGCGCTGTGTCCGGAAACGATCAAACTCGTCGAAGATTACAAACGCGCCGTCATCAGCCTTAATCGACTCCGCGTGCGCAGCCGAAAATAGAAATCCAACCACGCGCGTTCCATGTTCGTCGTTCAGTCATTTCAAGTGGCTGGCATTTGCAGCATTTGATGTTTTGCGAACTATTCTCCTTAATAAGAGAAGAAAAGCTAGAGAAAGATAAAAAGAAAGAAAAACAAAAGGAAGGAAGAGAAACGTCTTTATCTCTTTCCTGTATATTTGCAACACTTTATTCATAATGAAGATAAATGCTTACAATGCAGAAAAAACTGGATTATCATCACCGAATATATCAGTACATTTGGATACAATACATTATAAATTTATTCACATTTATGAATACAACTGCGATTGATTCATGATGTTACAGCGACTGATAAAAAGTTTGGCAAATGTAATGTAAAAAAATCTGACACTGCATAATATAAAGTAGTTGGACTTAATCAAGAAACACAATTTTTTGCAACTGCTGATATTCAGTTTTAAGAAAATCTTCTTGAAAAAATTGTTCTTTACGTTTCTAATCTAATATACCTAAAACAATGAGAAATATAAAAAAAAAATGTGACGAATGAAAGTTTTATGATTTCGAAAGCTGTATTGCTTCTTATGGACATCTTGCTTCTGCGAATATCAGATATTCAGGATTTCATCAATCGGTTCTTTGAAGTTTGCTTTTCTGTATAAATCTGAAAAGAAAAATTCACTGAAAAATGTCGAGAGCATCTAAAGTTTTATGAAAACTTTATCATTAATGAAAACTTTTTATTAAATATAAAAAGCAAAAATACATTATACCTGTGATTTTGTAATGTTCGAACAGTTTTAATCTCAAAATTATCGAACTATCCATGGATTTGTGAAACGCAAATAAAATTCGTTCAGCTTTATTCCTGAACTCGCTGTGATCCAAATAGACCGCTGGTCGCAGCAGGTTGAAACGAATTACTAGACAGCTCCGTGTCATCACGCGTCGTAAGCTGCAACAAAAGACATTATATGTTTGATATATCTTCCAAATTAATTTAAAGCACCAGTGTTCCTTTATCTGTATATATAATATCTAGAACGTAACTAAACTATGTTAAAGATCTATATCGATATAATAACCGAGTGTATGATAATGACATATTTAACAAACGGTGCTGTAAATATTTGGGTATCATGATCTTTACGGCAGAATGCGGCTTTGCTTGCCTTCGTTTACTTGATCTAACTGCCATGACTATATGCATATTAAAGTACTCGATGTTTAATGACCAAACTAAAATTACCACAACAGCATCCGAGCGTACTGTCTTTCATTCGTAGAATCATCGGAGAATTCTCAACTGTGATGAAGTATCCGCTGTCCTCCGAGTTTCAGAACAATCGGTGAAGTAAATGTCTTGCAGTTTATCCGGTAAATTTGTTCAATGCGATTAAAGTTGGCTTCGTACAAGCATCTCCTTCACGAGGAACGTATAATCATATATTAAGATGCTCCTATAAATTACATCATACATGTCATATCATGACAATGATAGGTAAGCTAATATATTCACATTTGTACAATTTTATCGCTCTTTCCAGCAATTGCAAAATAATGTTTTATTTTTCTTCATATCGCTTTACAACAGCATCCGTTAATTTGATGTACACGTTCTTCTCATTTTTCATACCATTTCAGCGTACGCGAAGTCATTTATCACAGGGTTTATAAATAGATTATGGATCGTTAGATTTTATGAAAAAGCGCGAAATCCATCATCGCAATGATGATGACATGGACATTACTCACCACGATTCATTACCATTTCTTGCTATAATGCTCTTACCATTCAAGCAAATTTTGTTAATTTTTCTTCAAATAATATCTGACAGCTTCTTTAATATAATTTTTTGTATCCTTTAATTAATGTTTGATTGATTAACTAATGATAACTTTTACTCCTCTGTACATGCTGAATACATATTTATCCATGACCATATAACCAGAAATAATATTTTTCAGTTCAAAATCGTATTGTGTTTGCATTAATAATAAAATTATGTGTTTTTTATTTTTAAATAATCGTGTTATCTATGTAACACAAAATTTCATGATTTTTGTTTATGTATCTTTTTATTATGTTAAATATATAGAACTTATTCTCAATGTTTGTACATTGTTCCGACTACTTTATCCTACATATATATACAGGACGTTTCAAATGTTACTCTATTTGTTATACATACGAAATAAAGGTAATTTAAATAAAAATTCAATTTCTTATTAAATAAAAATGTTGTAAAAAGGTTTTTATTATATAACTATAATTATACAAAATACAAATATAAAAAGCAAATACTTATCAAATATAAATTAGAATCTTATTTATTATTTTCTATACATAATTTATAAAATATTTAATCTACGAAATGTATTTTTCTCAGATCAATTCGAGTATATTAATAAATCCTTTCACGAGATTTTTAAAACATCGCTTTTTGTTCACAGATAGAATTAAATTTCTTGAAATATATTAATCCACTTTTTACATAAAATGCTTTTTATATGAAATTTGCTACATAAATCTTTTCTTAATTTTATTATATGTTATCCCTTCAATCCAATAATTTACACACACATACTCATATGTATACATATATATATATATATATGTGTATGTATGTAAATACATTTCTGTACATTCGTCTGAAATAGAGTAGAGTCTGAAAAGAAAAATAATTATTATAAAGTCATAGTATAAAATTTAAAACAAATATTTAAGGAAAACGCAAATGCTGTTAGTTTTATACAAAATATTATATAAAAAAAGAGATAAATTTTTAATCATTTGTTTTATATTTTATTAAATAAATATTTTTAGGACAGACTTCATACATTAAAATATTTGCATGTTAAATTGTTTTACAATATATGTATACAAAAAATACTTTGATTCCTTATATATTTTATGTAATTATTTCAATAATATTAATTAGCTTTATTATTATCCATCGACTTTTAATGCAAGATCATTAATTTACAATAATTTCAAATTTGATTGTAAATTTTAATGAAACATGTGAAATAATTTATTTAATAACTTTTAAGATCATGGAATACAGGTTATATTTTATTTCAAAATTGACGTATTCTAAATGCGATTGTACTGTTATACACAAATAAATTTAATAGTAATGAATACTTACCTATAAGAAATATAATATATATTAGCCTGTACATATATTACATTTTCGTGACTTTCTGTTACACAACAAATAACATTATGTATTATGTCTATGATCAATAACGATGTATAACCTATTCTGTCTTGCCCACTACTGGGGAATGCAGAGGGATGTTCTCACATGCGCAATAAAACAAGCTCTAGCAGACGACATAAAACCTCAAATACATATATTATACTTTATTATAATTAGGAATATTGTTAAAGCTTTTATAGAAAAAAATTATAAAAATGAGAATAAAATATCTTCTATAATATATACACACCTTTCTTCGTTAAAAAGCTTTAAATTTATTAATAATCTGTTACATTTACAGATGATTTACGAGAAATATTAGAATGAGAGAAACTGCAGAAAATCTTTCTATTATTATAATATAAATATAAAATTATATAAATTATATTAATATATGTTTTTTTAAATGTAAATATTAATTTAATAAGTATTTTGAATATTTTAAATAATACGTATTAATATTTGCTATAAATGTTTATGGTTAATATAATATTTAGAATTCAAATAGTGATGAAAAATAAATAATTTATATGGTCACAAAAGATGCTCAAGATAAAATTAGAGCAGAAGTCTATTAAGATTAGTCACATAGTCGATGATGTATGTTATGCACGCGTATATCAGTTTGTTTTTGAATGGATTTACCTCTCGATGTCTCAAACTGTTGTTGCAGTCCTACCATTCGTTGGCAACATGTTTCTTTAAAGCTAAACATAATTATTTACAGCATGTATATGGTTAAAAAAATATAAAAAATTAACATTCAATCGGCAAACAAGTTTAAAACAAGCATAAACACGTCTTTACTTTAACACATAAAAATCAGATTTAATAAAAAAACGAATTTTATAGCTGTTATACATCAACGACGTTTAATTGTAAATATGCTAGATTTTTGATAGTAAGTAAATGCGCAGACATAATTTTTATATTATATCAAAATATTTATCGCAATTACGACAATATGTATATTTAAGTATATACATATAAATATGTATCAACAGTTTTAACTAAAATAATTTTGTAGCAGAAAATTATTGATCAAATTTCATCAAAATAATATTAAATGTATGCGATTTTAGATTTTTATGATCTGTTATAATTGTTAATGAAATTTCAGAAATCCAGTAGTAATTAAAAAATATTAACATTATCGATTATTGATATGTAATTGTCGACTGTTGATATTTGGATTAATCAACTTACTCTATTATAAACTGACTAAATTTTAGCAATCACGTAAGATTGTCGATCTTTAATAACATCTGTTGTTAAAGTCATAATTACAAACTTATTCAATAAAGAAAAAGAAAAGTTAATGAAAAGAACAGTTACATAATATAACTGAAATTAAATTTTTCATTCAAATTTTAATTATTTACTCACAAGTTTCTTTAAAACATATATTAATTGTTTAAAAAATATTCTTATATATAATATAATATTTGTTCATTTTAGTGTTGTTATTTATACCTTTAAATCAGTATTTTATGTAAGAAATACAGCTGCTTGTGCAGTTTCTCAAAATATACACCTATATTTAACAAATTATGCAATTCAATTTTAACATTAATTTACCATTTAGAGCAGTTACCGTTGTTATCGGAACTGAACTGTGTTATTATACTTGTCTACTTCAGATAGATAACGCCACTGCTAAATGTTTGATCCAAAGTTTGTTGTTTTAACTGAAGATCAATTTTTAGAAAATTAAAAAATGAATTTCAGCTTTCACATTATTGTTAAAAATTGTAAAGTTAATAATTTTTATTATTTTATATATTATATATATATATAAATTATATATAAAAGAAACGAATATATTAGTAGATACTTATAAAGATTGAAAAATTAAATTAAATCTAGAGAAGTTTAAAATCATGGATTATATGATAAAGAAATCTCTTTTATAATAACATCAAACTTGTTTAATATAAAAAAATAATAATCACTAATGTACAGCAAAAGATGTAATTTATAATTCTGATAAATACAAATTATGCATTTATACATTAAAAATAAGATTTTAATAACAGAATTTATCCTGAGTAGTGTAACTGTTTTATATAGTCATTATAATACTTTCAAACTGATAAAAAAACTTACAAATAAATAGACAACTACGTTCTTATATCACTAAAAAAATTGTATATATTTTTATTTGAATGTGTAATAAAAATATAATCGACATGATATTTATATATTTTCTAATTCCATTTTTTCATAACCATATTTACTTCCGTATATGCAAGTGCAATAATATTTTTGATAATGGATGAAATATTAGGAATCAACTAGAATTTTTTTATTTATAAAAATGCAGACGACGAGCTTTCAGTTAAATAATCGCGCGTACCCTTGTACTCCATACAAGCAACCCTCATTGCGCCTGTAAGTAGTTGTGCTCGTTTTAGCGCAGCCGCGCACGGCGCCCCCGCAGGTATTGCGGCTGTACCAGTTTGGCCGCGTGGGGTGGTAGGGGATAGGCTGAGAGCGAGAGAGCGTGCGTCTACGTCAGGAAAAGCTCCGAGCTTATTGGTCCTGGTCCATTGTTGCGTATTGATTGCTGTGGAGCAGTGGTATGGTCGTCGGGACACTCGGTCGTCCTCGTCGTCGTCGTCGTCGTCGCCGTCGGTGGTGCTCAGCCGATTAGGTTAAGAGGAGCGGGCGCGCGCGGTCGTATATATAAGAGATAGAGAAAGAAGAGGAAAGAAAGGAGGGAAAAATATAACGTCGTCGTTCGCGTTGTCGTCGCGCATCGTCCGCTCGCGTTCCGTTCGCGTACGCGATCGCGACTCGCGCCTGCTACGTCCGCATCGTACACGCGCGCACTTATACTGTAAAAATATAAAAAGAGTATAATTACATATGTATAAATATTATATACGTATACATAAATAGATATACAAGAGAGCTATATAAACGCGAAGGAAACGAGAAGAACTCGTCTTGCGTACTTATGTATTCGTATACGCGAGCGCGCGTATGTGACACGCGGTAGTTATACAGTGTCCAGTGAGTTGTATCTCCTGCCTGTTCTCTATATATTGCTCCGGCCATCCCTTTCAATCACGGATTCCAACTAGAAGCGATACACACCTGCGGCATCAGTGACGGCGGCGGCAGCGGCTGCCGCCGAGGGTGGTAAGAACGAATCAACACGGCGCAAGTCCTTGGGCCATCAGGATCAGGTATCCACGGCTGGTTACTACGCGTACCGTGATAGCTACGTGGATAGGAAAGCGAAGCGCCTTTCCTAAGGACGCCGTACTCGATGATTCTCGCGTGTCCAGCAGAGACGTGTACATCTGACGTGTGCATTCGCCTCGAAGTAGACTTCTGACGAGGATAGCGAATCGTCAGTCGGACAGTAGTGCGTCGGCCAGAATTAACGATGGTGATTGAGTGATTCTTGAAGAAAAGGCGCTTGTGAACAAAAAGACATTTTTTCGGAGCAAACAAATACGGAGACATTAACAGGTAGAATTAAAGAAACGATAGTAAAGGAGTGATAGGAAAAGAGGGAAAGCTAGAGAGAGAGTGAGAGAGAGAGAGAGAGAGAGAGAGAGAGAGAGAGAGAGAGAGAGAGAGAAGAGGAGAGAAAGGAAGAGTGCAAGAGGTGAAAGAAGAGAGAGGGAAAAAAGGGGGGGAGGGGTTGAAAGGATAAGACGAGGTCTGGGGTGTCAGCGAGTGTGCATGACAGAAGAGTGTGCGTGGAAGAAGAGAAGAAGAGAACTGGGCGATTTTTTCTTTGAACAGAGCGCACGCTTACAAAAGAAATAAAGAGAAAGAAGCTTGTGGTAGCTGCGTATCGTTAGGACGCGAAAGCAAGCCGTGCACGGGTCCTTCTTAGCGCGTTTCGCGCATCTCCCGGAGGCGGCGCGAAATTATGAAGCGTATAAAGTGCGTCCTACTGGCCGCCGCAGCTGCCGTTTGTGATTGTGATAGTCGCCGGTGAATGTGTGACCCGGGGGCAGCAGAGATCCGCCGGGATGACGACCGAAGAGACGACCGTGCAGCCCCCGGTGACGGTAGAAGGCTGCCTCAAGGAGCGGAAATGGTGGTGCTTCCTGCTGTCGAGCATCTTTACCTTCCTCGCCGGGCTGCTGATCGTGCTCCTCTGGCGTGCGTTCGCATTCCTCTGCTGTCGCAAGGAGCCCGAGCTCTCTCCAAATGACCCAAAGCAAAAGGAGCAGAAGTCGGCCCGTCAGGGCAAGGAGTTCGAGGGGACTTTTATGACCGAGGCCAAGGACTGGGCCGGCGAGCTGATTTCCGGACAGACCACCACTGGACGTATCCTGGTGAGATTTCCTATTTTTTTAAATAATTATTGCGATCATTATACTGATAATCGTGACATATAATTCCAATATAGAAGCATATACACCGTCAATAATATTTACATAGTACTATGTGACCTATATTATACTTCTTTCGTATTTTGTCCATGAATTGATTCTCTTTGATTATTAGAACATTCAATAAATGTTTGCAAAATAATTGAAAATAATGTATTGAATGAAATTAATTTTTTTATTTAATTTATTTTTTTTCAATTATTTTCTCTATTTCTTCTTATTATTTTATTATCCATATTATTTATATTTTAATTTCGACATTTATATATTTAACTCTGATTTATAATAGGAAAGAACAGTACATTTCTACTTTTAAACACAGAAGAAAATTTATCTGCAAAAAAGATAGAAGTATTAAGAAAATAATAATCTGTATTAATTGAATGAAATATAAAGAATTTCAAAATAATTTTCAAATATAATAATAATGCTTTACTTGTGCTTATACATCTATTGTTGCTCAAAAACAAATAACAATAGTAAACCAACTACGACTCTTCATGTTGATAAATATATTATATATGGAGTTTTTTTATTTCTAAAGTTGCATGTATTATATTCTTCTCAAATCATTTGAATAATATTCATTAGACGTAAAATTCTGAAACTATTCTATTTGATATAAAATAATATTAATGATTTATGTTGTAAACTTGTTTGACAATTTAATACAGCGATGTACAACTATAAATTATCTCAATAATATACTCTTATTATATTTTATCATAAAACTATAGCTAATACAGTAACAGGCAAATGTTTGATCCATGTAAAAATTTCCTTATTTAAAGTCTGCTCACACCAAGACATTTAACAGACTCGATAAAATTCTTCCGCTGCGATACTATTAAATTATATTTGTAATCGGATTTCCAGAAAATGGAATACAATTTGGCTAAATAGGTCATACGCTGGAGAAAGTACAAAACTGATTTTAAAGAAAATCCGATAAGAGTGACTATTGAGACGGTAGAGGGGAAAAAGACGGGACAGAGGGATATACTGATTAAAACTATTCCGTGCAGATTCGTGCCAGTCACGAGACGCTATTAACCAAAATTCAGGTCGGCATTAAATTGTCGTTTAAATCTAATTCAGCTTCAAAAGTTCTCTCTCTCTCTCCCTCTGTTTCTCTTTCTCTTTCGATCTCGATTCTGATTCCATTGGACGATATCGCGACAGGAATTTCGATATCGAAATCCGCCCCCGTTCGTACCACGCGCCGTGGTGCCCTACCCGAACGCACGAGGATTGACGTCGCGCATCCCGGACGTTCTACGGGGTGAGAACTAGTAGCGAAACGTGTATACACGTAGATTCGCGGCCACTTACACGTGTACGCGCGCGTGCGCGCACACGAGACTCCTAGCCTCGAGCTCGCATGAGAGTACGAATGTATGTGACCGGTGACCCAGTTTTCGTTCGTGGAACCAGACACGACAACGATCCCGAGGTAGAGGGGTGGCTTCTACGCAGTGCGTGTCCCACCCTAAAAGTGCGTTTCCGTTGCCATCGTGACCAGTCCAGTGGCTCTTTATTCTTGTCGTTCTATCTTGAATCTTTTCGGAGCATTCAATATTCGCGAATACATTTGCTCCTTGAACTATTATACATGGATAGCCGTCCTCTAGTTGGCTGTTCTTCCTCTTACACTCTTGCCTCTGCTTCATGTTGAATGCGTTAAGTCGGGCGGGAAGGCAGTGCACAATTTACGAATGGCTTTATTCAAATTTTATAGTCAGGCAGTAAGAGAAAATCCTCCGTTCTATCGAGAACATAAATCGGGAGAACGCGTCGCAGTTTACGATCGCGTTGTTACATTAGGATAATCTCGAGAGCTACGTCGAAGAAACAACACAAGACTCTTGTTGGTTATTCCGTTTGTTACAGAGAAAAATTAGATCATGCACTTGTTCCGCATTTTGCGATGACGCAGAGTTATCGATGTCGTGCCCTTGTAAAAACTTAGCCTACTCGTGGAGGCCGAGCCTGACGACAGATTGCAGCCGACCATGCGAGATCGAGTCGACAAAGTTCAGATTGTAATTACAATTCCGACTATGAATAATAGGAATTTCGCTATATTGCCGATCTCGGATTTCAATCACGGCCAACAGCAAGCCGCTATCGATAGTACGGTTTATTGATGACAAGAACATTGGCGAAACAATCTTAATATTTTTCATGATAAATAAGATTGTAGACGTTGCTTGTCTATTGATTTGATTATGCAATTCAAAATCAGGCATATTGCAGTAATCTCAATTGAGAATCAATTCTTCTTTCTATTGACTTTAATTAATTATTCAAATCTTTTTTTGTTAAGAAGCGTAACAGATTATATTAAAAATCTTTTATTTGATTATATATATATACGAGAAAAATATATCACGGTACCACTAATTATGATGCCAGTTTTTACATCATTAAACAAGAAAAATTTGTAAACTTCTAAACTTTAAAAAATGTTTTTAGTACTAATAAACAAGTTTTAAAAATAATGCATGTTCCTTAGATAAATTATTTAGAGTAACTGTTTCTATTTTTTTTAAATTATTGTGTGACATAAAATTAACATTATCTATTAATCTAAATAAAATGTCTACAAGTTGTTTAATACTAATACAGTTACCGTTTTCAGATACGTTTCATAATTAATTAACAATCAGTTTCTGACTGACATTACTATTCCGCTATAAAATTAATATGGTCAAATATTATATACAAGTTTCTTGCTGATCAGCGAGCTTGTAACATTTTACATTATTCACGATTCTGGTGAGAGGATTTAAATTGTGCTATAACAATAATGTTGTCAGGAAAATTTATTAACCTTTAAATGGAAAAGAATTTGTAAAAAAAACTATTTCCATTTTTGTAATATATATTTTTCTTGAAGATTTTTTGTTGACTATGTTAATATTGATTATTTTCACTTTTTCAGTTTACACTTTCTAATTTTCATTTACAAGTCAAAATGCAAAACAGTATTACGTAAAGAAAAAGTACAAAGAAAAAAGATAAAAAGCTACGAAGTTGTTTCATAAAATAAGATTCAGGTCAAGCAGTTTGTACAATGTACAATATTAAAAACAATGAAAAATAAAATATTGTTCTTTTACGGTACAATTCATCAATAGATTAAATTTTTAATTTTCATGTAAAAATGTCAGATGAGTGTAAAACATCATTTCGCTTTTAAAGATTGAATAATAAATATTGAATGAAGAATGCTTTAAAATACTGTTTTTCTTTTTCTAGACATAGACTAGTATATTTTTAAATTGACAGAATTTGTTCATTTTTGATATTAGAATATCAACAATTGGCCTTCGCGATGTAATCCTTGTTATTTGAGATCAAGTATCATCGTGGCTGTAGAGATATGATTCGTACCTTAATTAAGCAATCTAAATTTTAAATGACATATACATATTCGAGCAAGTTTACTAGACGAAGTCTAGTATAAACCACTTTTGGCACGATTTTTGGAAGTTGATCCCAATATGCGCTAGCGCCATTGAAACTAAACTTGTATCGACCTCCATGACCTCGGGTCGCACTGGGATTAGAAGTAGCAGTTCTCGGCTTTATTCTAGCAGCAAGTAATTACAGAGATGTAAAGTATAAGTCAAGAAATATTACGCTGCATATTTAGACGTTGCTTTCGCATAGAATAATTGAATTGCTCTACTTCTAAGTGTTATTCTTTTTCTTTTTAAATTAACGATACAATTTTATCCCTATAAATTATGTTGTGTGATATTTGCAAGTAAACTGAAAATAATTTTATTTCGAGAGATATTTAATATTCATAACATTTTATTATATTATATCATTTATAAAGTCATAGCGAAATGGAATAAAAAGTTTCTGCGCTTTTAAATTACGTATATCCTCCAAAATAAATACAAAGTAACAATATGTAATATATTTGGACTTATAACTATATAACATCTTGATATATTCCGATTCTTTTAATATAATATTTTATATTAAGTTTTTGAAATAAAGCTTATAAGCATAAGTGTAAATAAAGTTATTAATTTATAATAATTTTGTGAGATTATTTCTACCTTCTGAATATTTAACTATGTCTTTTAACGAATAATGTAACGTTATAAAATGCTCTATATGATAATTAATTTTGATAGCTAATTAATTAAAATTCTTTTCAACAACTTTACTCACAAAATGCTTAATAAGAAGAACCAGAAGAACCGAAATTTGGCAAGCTGCTCATACCAGCTTCTCGTTAACGATATTTATCTATGTCATGTTCCATATTCGTTCATTTTTGCATGATTATATCGAATTCTAATTTTCTTGCACGTGAACTCATACTAGCAGACCGTGTGGAACGTCGAGCTCTGATCTTCTTTGACATATCAATTCCAGTTTTTTGGTTGACGCGAAAATAGTAAAACGCAAATTCGCCCGTTCGGAGCTAAAAACTTCTCGAATATTTAAGCTGTCTCTCGATAGCCAACTTTTTATCTTGTTGGTTGTGCGCTATGCATCGTCCGACGTGTCATAAACGGGAAACTTTTTTAACCGGACTTTTCTCGATAAGTCCGCCGGTGTTCAAGCACACACCATAAATGATAATATACACTCGGAAATATACTGGTAGGAATTTATAGAATTTATACTGTTGAAGTATATCGCACGCGCACAATGCGTGCTCGTGAAAAAATCGTACAAATAACCACGCGACAGAAAACTATATGAATTATGCATCCGCGATTTATGTTTACGTGATGCACGATCTACTTCAGAAACACGTTTTCCATGTTTTTTATGTTAAAAATTAATGTCCAGTTTTTGCTTTAATTTGAATATATACTTGTTGATACTATATTTATTACAAAAATGGGAAAGTATGCGTAGCAAAAATTCGGGCGAACAATTTCATGACAAAAATGCGACCGGTGGATTTTATT